ACTCTCCCTCTACGACTCTGTGACTCTCCCTCTATGACTCCCCTTTATTACAGCGCCTCTGTGACTCCCCCTCTCTGACTTCCCCTCTGTGACTCCTCTACTCTGACTCCCCCTCTGTGACTCCCCCTCTCTGAGTCCCCTCTCTGATTCCCGTCTATGACTCCCCCTCTATGACTCCCCCCCCTGACTCCCACTCTGTGACTCCCCTCTCTGATTCCCCCTCTCTGACTCCTCTAATCTGACTCCCCCTCTATGACTCCCGCTCTCTGACTCCCCCTCTGTGACTCCCCTACTCTGACTCCCCCTCTCTGACTCCCCTCTGTGACTCCCACTCTGAGTCCCCCTCTCTGATTCCCTGTCTATGACTCCCCTCTGTGACTCCCCCTCCCTGACTCCCACTCTGTGACTCCCCTCTCTGATTCCCCTCTCTGACTCCTCTAATCTGACTCCCCTCTATGACTCCCGCTCTCTGACTCCCCTCTGTGACTCCCTACTCTGACTCCCCCTCTCTGACTCCCCCTCTGTGACTCCCACTCTGAGTCGACAACGCCTCTGTGACTCTCCCTTTATGAATGTGACTCCCCCTCTGTGACTCTCCCTCTACGACTCTGTGACTCTCCCTCTATGACTCCCCCTTTATTACAGCGCCTCTGTGACTCCCCCTCTCTGACTTCCCCTCTGTGACTCCTCTACTCTGACTCCCCCTCTGTGACTCCCCCTCTCTGAGTCCCCCTCTCTGATTCCCCGTCTATGACTCCCCCTCTATGACTCCCCCTCCCTGACTCCCACTCTGTGACTCCCCCTCTCTGATTCCCCCTCTCTGACTCCTCTAATCTGACTCCCCTCTATGACTCCGCTCTCTGACTCCCCCTCTGTGACTCCCCTACTCTGACTCCCCTCTCTGACTCCCCCTCTGTGACTCCCACTCTGAGTCCCCTCTCTGATTCCCTGTCTATGACTCCCCCTCTGTGACTCCCCCTCCCTGACTCCCCCTCTGTGACTCCCCCTCTCTGATTCCCCCTCTCTGACTCCTCTAATCTGACTCCCCCTCTATGACTCCCGCTCTCTGACTCCCCTCTGTGACTCCCCTACTCTGACTCCCCCTCTCTGACTCCCCTCTGTGACTCCCACTCTGAGTCCCCCTCTCTGATTCCCTGTCTATGACTCCCCCTCTGTGACTCCCCCTCCTGACTCCCACTCTGTGACTCCCCCTCTCTGATTCCCCCTCTCTGACTCCTCTAATCTGACTCCCCCTCTATGACTCCCGCTCTCTGACGTACCCTGTGACTCCCCCTCTATGACTCTCCCTCTGTGACTCCTCCTCTCTGACTCCCCTCTCTGACTCCCCCTCTGTGACTCCTCCTCTCTGATTCCCCTCTGTGACTCCCACTCTCTGACTCCCCCTCTGTGACTCCCCCTCTGTGACTCCCCCTCTCTGACTCCCCCTCTGTGACTCCCACTTTCTGACTCCCCCTCTATGACTCCCCTCTGTGACTCCCCCTCTCTGACTCCCCCTCTCTGACTCCCCCTCTATGACTCCTCCTCTCTGACTCCCCTCTATGACTCCCTCTGTGACTCCCCCTCTATTACAGCACCTCTCTGACTCCCTACTCTGACTCCCCTTCTGTGACTCCCACTTTCTGACTCCCCCTCTATGACTCCCCTCTCTGACGTACCCTCTGTGACTCCCCCTCTATGACTCTCCCTCTCTGACTCCTCCTCTATGACTCCTCTACTCTGACTCCCCCTCTATGACTCCCCCTCTGTGACTCCTCTACTCTGACTCCCCCTCTATGACTCCTCTACTCTGACCCCCCCTCTCTGACTCCCCCTCTGTGACTCCCACTTTCTGACTCCCCTCTATGACTCCCCTCTGTGACTCCCCTCTCTGACGTACCCTCTGTGACTCCCCTCTATGACTCTCCTCTCTGACTCCTCCTCTATGACTCCCCTCTCTGACGTACCCTCTCTGACGTACCCTCTCTGACTCCTCCTCTCTGACTCCCCCTCTCTGACTCCCCCTCTATGACTCCCCTCTCTGACTCCCCCTCTATGACTCCCTCTGTGACTCCCCCTCTGTGACTCCCCTACTCTGACTCCCCCTCTGTGACTCCCCTCTGTGACACCCTCTGTGACTCCCACTCTCTGACTCCCCCTCTATGACTCCCCCTCTGTGACTCCCCCTCTCTGACGTACCCTCTGTGACTCCCCCTCTATGACTCCCCCTCTCTGACTCCCTCTGTGAATTGACTGATTGTATGACTTGTGTTTATGTTTTCTATATGAGCTGATTGTGGGGAAGCTGACTCCTCCTCTATGACTCCCCCTCTGTGTGTTTATGTTTTCTGTATGAAGCTGAGTGTGGGGAAGCTGACTCCCCCTCTGTGACTCCCCCTCTATGACTCCCCCTCTGTGTGTTTATGTTTTCTGTATGAAGCTGAGTGTGGGGAAGCTGACTCCTCCTCTATGACTCCCCCTCTGTGTGTTTATGTTTTCTGTATGAAGCTGAGTGTGGGGAAGCTGTTCTCCCAGCAGACTTTGCTCTCAGTGAGTCAGAACTCTGGCTCATGAAGAAACATTAGAGTGAGAGCTCCTCCTCTTGATGCTGCTAGCTTCATGCTAACAGCTCTACGCTGCAACATCACAACAACAGCAACACAACATTATGAAATCAGCACAACAGCACGACAATATATCATACAAATGTATCCAAAGCAACAAGGAAACAGCCAGAGTCTCCGTTTATAATTCATGCAGCTCGTTGATAAGCTAGCTAACGTGCTAACAGCTAACATCATCATCATCATCACCATCATCATCATCATCAGTTTACAGGGAGTGTGATCAGTGGTCTACTTTTACCTCTAAAAACAGGATTTGATGATTTGTTTTGTTACGTTTAATTCTGACACACTTTCTTTAAGCTCTTTACAGAAACTTTTAACATGCCTCTGCTTTACTCGCCACGTTCTCCATGATGCCTCAGGACACAACGGCCTCATGAGGGGCGAGAGGGAGAGCATTCAGCTGAGTAGAACAAAGTCTAAGGAACTGAATCAGCTGATTGTATTGTTCTGTCCCTCAGGAAACAGTCCCTGCTTCAGTCTGCAGAAAGTTACAGATACAGATTTTCCACATCATCTTCAGCATCTTCATCCCAACAGCCTCGTGTTTGTAACAGAGTATCTTTGTTCTCTGATCCACTTTGATATGTTCTAATTCTGTTTCTGTCCTCCCTCTCCTGCTCGTCCTCCGGGTCTTCCTGCTGGTTCTGCTTCTTCCTGGTTCGGAGTAGAACCCGTTCCACCTGCAGATGCTGACCGGGGTTCCAGAGTCCAGTCTGTCTGATCTGTTGCTGACGGTTCTCCGGCGGTCCGGTTGGAGGGATGGGACTGTGGTTCTGTGTCGGGGTTGGGAGGAGTCTGGAGGTATCCTGCAGCTCCTGGATCAGACCAGTAGTGGTGCATCATGGGATGGTGGAAGCGGTGCCACCTGGCGCCTGCGCGCTGTCTTGAACCTGACGCAGTCGTCACATGACGATACTCAGATCCACGATTTCCTGTCACGACACTTCAGACAGAACCAGTCCTCACCTGCGTCTGTGCTCCTTTTTGGAGCAGACCCTCAATGCGCGGCAGGTGTTCTACGCAGCGCCCAAGACTTGGGACTCACGCTACCCATGATGCACTGGGTTCTAGGCAAGCCGCTAAGCCCTGATGCATTGCACGCCATTGGACTGCCGCTCGGCCTGCTGGCCTACGGAGAGGTACAGAGGAAACCCCTCGAGTTTTACGTCAGAGATGCTCTGCAGCTCATCTCCAGAGCCATCGCCACAGCAACCATGGTGAGACCGGACTTGGCTCTGATCCAGAACACGGTGAACTGCTACGACACGTCTGAACACCAGGTACCATCATCAGGACAGTACCTGACCAGGTGAGAACCAACATGTGAACATTATACTTAGAAATGTATTTAATCAGCCGTCATGCTACTTTGCTGCTGTTGAAGTTGTTTAATAATTTAATATTTTCTCCTGGGTCTGAGATTAACTCAAACAGCAACCGCAGGTGTTGAAACATGAAGCTGATGCTGAAGTGTAACCCATCCTGCAGTTCCTGGAGTGTCCACTAGAGGCTGGCTGCAGAAGCACAGGAAGTCACATACACACCCATTCTAAAAAGCCTGTTTTTACAGCAGAGATTAACATGTTTACAGCCTGGTTCAAAAAACCAAATAGGTGTGATTAGCTCATGTCTCGATCGACACACACTGTACGGGGGGTGAATGTTTTGATGACTCATCAGTTTTGATTTGATGAAGGATAAGAGTTATTTACAATAAGGCGTGTAGCTGGGTGACATCACTCAGACTTCAATCATTTGTATTTACAGTCTGTGGACGTATGAGTGTGTAGTCAGCTGGCGGAGGTGATCAGCTGGCGGAGGTGATCAGCTGGCGGGGGTGATCCGCTGGCGGGGGTGATCCGCTGGCGGAGGTGATCAGTGAGCATCGCTGCAAATTTTTATTTCAAATATTTACATGTTTCTGCAGCAGCTGTTTGCATCTTAATCACCTCAACCCCTTCAGCTACCTCTTTGATCCTCTCTTTCAGGTGGGAGGAGTTAACACACACACACACATTCATATATTTATGAATACAGTCGGTGTGTTTTTCTGTCTGTGTAAATAAAAAGATGATGAAGGTTTAACTTTTATTCATGAAGAGATTTATTACAGAGCCTGAAGCTCTCTCTCACTCTCTCTCTCTTGCGCGCTCTCCATTTCTCTTGCTCGCTCTCTTTCTGTTACTTTTACTCTCGCTTGATCTCTGGCCAGCTCTCACTCTCTCTCTCTCTTTTTTTCTCAGGACACATTGCTAGTTGCAGGACACATTGCTAGTTGCAGGACACATTGCTGGCTGTGGTTTGAAACTCTGCAGCAGGGTCTGTGTTTTTGAGATTTCTCGTCTGGCAGCAGGTTTGAGGAGGATAAAAGGTTTAACTGCTGCGTTCAGTTCCTGACAGAAAAAAAAAAGATCAAACACTTTCTCTGTAAATGAAAAAACATTCAGAGTGAAAGATAAAATCCTCTGAGGACGGATTATCTGCTGCAGAAGAAGAAAAGAACCATAGAATACAGAGCGTGAAGAGGAACAGAGAGTTCAGAGTGTTAATATGAACCCAGATCACACACTGACTCATCACAGTGACACCTGAATCCTTCAGAACCTGAGCAGAACCGGGTCAGGAGGACCAAACCTCTGAGGATCACAAACATTCACATTCCTGCAGGTTCTGCCCGACATGTCGACATGTTTGTCCTGTTAACTGTGAGATAATTGATTCTCAAACTGTGAATAATGAGCTGCTGTGTGATGAAGGTCACTCCTCATCATTTTCTCTGTGAGGACCTCACCCTATCACAGGTGTTCAGTTCACACCTGTCAGCCATAAGCCATAAGCCATAAGTATCAGAATTAAAAACATGTGTCTGACTTCACATATGTGCCCACATAATTCATCTGTTTGAATAGAGGTGTATATGTATTCTTTTCCTGCAGGTTTCTGTCCAACACGTCTTTCTTAGGTCTGACAGGTCCGGTCCGGGTCCACCTGAACCGGTCTCAGGTGGTGACCTCACAACGTTTCCACATCTGGAGCCTGCGACGTGACGCGCTTGGTCAGCCCACCTGGGTGACTGTAGGCAGTTGGGAGGGGGGGGAGCTGAAGGTGGAGGACCAGGGAGTCTGGCAGGGACCCAAACCTCCCCACAGGATGGAAGGTGGGAGCGGGAGGACCAGGGGGCGCTGGAGGCCGGGGATGCCAGTGGCGGGTAGCCGAGTCCGTGTGGTTACCCTGGTTGAACATCCCTTTGTGTTCACACGGGACGTGGATGACGAAGGGAGCTGCCCTGCTGGTCAGTTCTGCCTGGACGCCAGCACCAACAGCTCAGAGACCCTGCAGAGGTTTTTCAGGGAGGTGGCCGGTGGGAATGGCAGCTTCCTGCCTGCAGAGTACAGCAAGTGTTGCTATGGATACTGCATCGACCTGCTGGAGAAGCTGGCCGAGGATCTGGGCTTCGAGTACGATCTCTATATCGTTGGAGACGGGAAGTATGGAGCGTGGAAGGCTGGGCGCTGGACCGGGCTGGTAGGAGATCTTCTGAATGGACTAGCAGATCTGGCTGTCACCTCCTTCAGTATCAACTCAGCGCGGAGCCGGGTCATCGACTTCACGTCACCCTTCTTCTCCACCAGCCTGGGAATCCTGGTGCGCAGTAAGGACACGGCAGCCCCCATTGGAGCCTTCATGTGGCCCCTGCACTGGTCTATGTGGGTGGGCATCTTCTTGGCGTTGCACATCACAGCGCTCTTCCTAACGCTGTATGAGTGGAAGAGTCCGTATGGCATGACGCCTCACGGGCGCAACAGGATCAGGGTATTCTCATACTCCTCTGCCCTGAACCTCTGCTATGCCATCCTGTTTGGACGCACCGTGTCCTCCAAGACCCCCAAGTGCTGGACTGGCCGCTTCCTAATGAACCTGTGGGCAATCTTCTGTCTGCTGGTGCTGTCCAGCTACACCGCCAACCTTGCCGCTGTCATGGTGGGAGAGAAGACCTTTGAGGAGGTTTCAGGGATCCACGATGCCAAGGTAAGAAGCCTTGAAAACTCCTTGAAAGTTTTGATTCCGAGTTTTAATATCTGCTCTCCAGAGACTCCCAATTTTTTTTTACAGAAACAGAAGCTGAGAGACGGAAATATTTTGCGAATATATTCTACTCAACGAATACTATTGTGAATATATTCTACTCAACTCACCAAAACACAACAACACAACTAAAACACAACTTGATGGCTGCTTTGCTTGAAATGAGAAGTCAATGTTCAAAACAAATACATTTCTTTAGAAGAATTTATTCAGGATAAAACTCTGGATTAAAGCAACAAACTATTTCATTGACAAAGTCGCCCTGGCTCCATCATTATGTTCAACAACATACGACACAAACTAAGCCACAGCTTGCTGTCTTCTTTGAATAAACACTAAGCAAGAAAAGTAAATCTGCAAACGAAAAGATAATTTTTCCTCAAGAAAAATCTCTTTTAGGATTAAAAATTTGGATTACTGTGCATTTACAGTGCAATAAAGCTGGTTTATTGAAGGCCTCACACGGGGCACCATTTGTTGGAGTTTTATCAAGGCCAATTTGGTTATCAATGACAATGTTATTCAACCACGTTTAATTGACTCGGGGGCAGGGGAAAATAACCAAAATATCACTAAAATCATTCTTAAATTAGTTACTTAATTACTAATATTATTAATAATTAATTAATAATTAAAATAAATAAGACTTTGATTCAACAGCAGGTACACTGGTCTTTCTGAATGTGAAAACATTTAACTGAAAGCACACTAGCATAGCATTGAATGAAAACACAGAGGCGAACATGGCGGTTCAGCAACAAAAACAAACGCAGCAGCTTACAGCAGATAATAAACAGAATGTGACGTTCAGTCAACAATAAAGCACAATTATCAGTTGTTATAGAATAAACCTTCCTAAAATATTTTGTGCCCAGACTAAAGTCTTACTTGGAATCACTTTTCTGATGATTGTTTCAAGGTTCGGTTGGTCTTCAATCTATTGAATCAACAGATTCAGGCAGGTTTCTGTGGCAGATGAAAAGAGACGGCAGCAGGAGTCAGATTTGAGACAAGAGCAATGCTCTGTTGTCTTTCTGGTGGCAGGAGTACATTTTCCTTGGTGTATTCTTCTTCAGGTAACAGTGGCTCTCTGTAGCACTCCTGTCCAGTTGTGTTCACCGATGTTGACAAAAATAATAGGAAAGAATCTCTCTGTGCTCGAACCAGATAGTAACTGATTGAGTCAAAACTCCTAAAGCAGACCTTGGAGGTAGGCCAGGTTGGAATGTGTGTCTCCCCTGAAGCTGGAAGCTTGTGAAGAGAGGTATCCTCTGGTGTAGGGAGACCACACGTGAAGAGATCGAACAATGAGAGGCGGCTGCTTTTATCGACCCTACACTTGACACCTGTGTTAGATGTTGCAGAGCATGCTGGGAGTAAGAGTCATTTAAGTACTCGTACTCAGGCTTCTGTGGCTACAGGCCGGATCTTTGTTTCAACACATGGAGATCCCAACATGATCAAAAACACACCTGATCAGTTACACCTGATCAATAACACCTGATCAACAACACACCTGATCATAACACACCTGATCAACAACGCACCTGATCAATAACGCACCTGATCAACAACGCACCTGATCAATAACGCACCTGATCAATAACACACCTGATCAACAACACACCTGATCAACAACAGACCTGATCAATAAAACACCTGATCAACAACACACCTGTTCAATAACACACCTGATCAATAACACACCTGATCAATGACACACCAGATCAACAACACACCTAATCAGCAACACATCAGGGGTCTGTTCTACGAAGAGAGACCAACAGACCATGGTCTCTGTGGGTCCAGCTTCACTAACCCTAACATCAGAGAGCATGATTAACAGTCACACGAAGCCGCTTATCAACCTGATAATTAACCCTTGAGTGTCAGAGAGCGCGTTCACATAAAAGGGGCGGAGTTAGCTTCATATAACCTAACCTAAAATCACAATCATCACTGCGTCTCCCATCAGCAGATCGTCATATCTAACAAACTCTGAACAAACTATATTAATAATATAAAGAGGCTTTAAAACAAACCCAGAGACTAAAGTTACACAGCTGCAGAAAAAAGAAACATCAAAGAGTATTAATGTCCAAACTACAGATCAGCTCTGATGATAACAGACAGAGCGGCATGGAGACACTAAACATTCATATGAAAATATCATTCAAAGACATCAGAAGATATTCATCATTTAACATCTTAAAAACATTGTTTTTAGTCTCTGTTGAAGGATGAAGGATGATATCAGTTCAAAAAAATCATTCACTTTACAGACTATAATGTTATTTTATGGGACTCCTCCACCCTCTTCATCAAGACATCTGATTGGTCAGTGGGCTGAGACTTCCACATGTTGACCTCTTATCTCCAACATAATCCTAACCCATTTACCTGGACATTACTTTGACTTTACCTAAACCTGACCTAGACTTTACCTTGACTCAACATTCTTCTTCGCTGGTGTCTCAGCTGCATCACCCCTCGTGGGGTTTCAGATTTGGGACGGTGAGGGAGAGCAGTGCAGAGGACTACATGAAGAAGAGTTTTCCTGAGATGCACGAGTACATGAGACGATTCAATGAACCAACTACACCTGAAGGCGTCGCCACTCTCAAGTAAGACACACACCCACACACACGCACACACGTTTCCAGGAGACAAACCCATACATCTGAGCGGCTGCTGAGAACCTGCTCAGGTAAACCAGGAAACAAACTGATGGAAAGGAATTGACAGAGTGGCTCAGTTGCTGTTTTCTGCAACATTTCTTGAATCTGAGAACATTTTTTCAAAATTATCACGACAACACCCAGACATTCCGTAAAGTTGCCAGAGGTGCAAGTTGCAGAAACTGCTTGTGGCAATGGTGAATGGTTCTTTCTGTTTAAAGACAGACTTTTCTGAGCAACAATATGTCTCTGTATGCCGTTGTGGATAGTTGCCAGCTGCTGTAGTTGAGGTGTTAACCATGTTGCTACAGTTGATGTCCACATGCACTATTGCCATACCGTTGGGTGGTGCTAGTTGCTCTGTACATTGTTAATGTAGTTGTTGTCTTTAGTTACTGTAGTTGTTGTCTCTGGTTGCTGTAGTCGTCTCAGGTTGCTGTAATTGTTGTCTCTTTGGTTGCTGTAATTGTTGTCTTTAATTACTGTAGTTGTTGTCTCTGGTTGCTGTCGTTATTGTCTTTGCTTGCTGTAGTTGTTGTCTTTAGTTACTGTAGTTGATGTCTCTTTTTGCTGTAGTCGTTGTCTTTGGTTGCTGTAGTTGTTGTCTTTGGTTGCTGTAGTTGTTGTCCTTAGTTGCTGTAGTTGTTGTCTCTGGTTGCTTTGGTCGTTGTCTCTGGTTACTCTAGTTATTGTCTCTGGTTCCTGTAGTTGTTGTCTTTAATTACTGTAGTTGTTGTCCTTGGTTGCTGCGGTTGTTGTCTCTGGTTGCTGCATTTGCTGTCTCTGGTTGCTGTAGTCGTTGTCTTTAGTTACTGTAGTTGTTGTCTCTGGTTGCTGTAGTTGTTGTCTTTAGTTACTGTAGTTGTTGTCTCTGGTTGCTGTATTTGTTGTCTTTAG